AATAAGCCTAGACTTTCCTGAAGCCACCTGGTCCCTGTCTTTGGCTGAAACAGTGACAGGCAAGCCCAGCCCTTGTTTCCCTGGCACCAGCAATAGCAACCTTCTATTAGGGTCAAAGACTCAAACTTCACTGGAGCAGAAAATCTCATCTTTCTCCCATGGAACAGCTGGTGTGTTTGAACTGCCAATGTCGTGGTTAGTGGCCCAAAGCTTACCCCACAGGGCCACCAAGGGTCTTTATTGCATACAATAGAACCCAGTTGATAATTACATATCATTTTATTGGCAAAGTGAAGGAAGAGGTTGGTCGTTCTGGACAAAAGAAACACGGTGAGAGAACAAGAAAGGTAAAGGAACATGAACGGTTATCTAGACAAATTAACTGACAAATTAAGCAGGAGAGCATGCAGACGCTTAATTATCAGGAGTTGAGGATATTCGTCATTCTGTATGATGTTCACATAGCCTCAATATTTTCTAGAACAGCTCTGTTCTTGCCATTAGAACAATTTATTGCCTAATTCTTTAGTGTGCCCTTTTGAAGAGATTGTCTGCAAGACACCTTCGGAGTGTCACAGAACAAAAAGTAGACCCTTGGAAAGCAATCCCCCCATTGCATGAAAAGCAAAATAACCTTTTTCATCAAATGCTTTGTGACCATTTAGAATATTGAACTTGTATTTTAATCATCGAGTTCAACAGGAATATAGCCAGTGGGAAGATATTAATTACACACGGTGTCTTTCTCCTGAGGATGCTTTAATGAAGCTTGGAGCCCTTAGACAGGAAAGGTCAAATGACTCTCCTCCCCCTTGGTACCGTACAGCGCATAGAGCTGCACCTCTATCCCAGCAGACTTTCAACCAGGAGGTATAATACTAGCCCGAGGCAAAAATTCCCCAAAACAAGAACTCACCAAGCAGCAGCCACTCTCTGGAATTCCTCTTTCAGAGTTTGAAGAACAGATGAGTGTAGATAATCCTCATTTGAATATAAATGTCTCTTTTATTAAAGGTGTAATAATGGCAGGAGGAATACCATTCTAATAGGAAATTTATTATGGATTAAATATTGATAATATTTTAGCTCAATATTTTAAATATGCTGGAAATGTTCTTGCTTTGTTTGAACTATGCACAAACTCAGTTTATATTGTTAAATTTCATGAAATTACTCTTTTTGGTATGTCAACTGGGGTTGAATACTGACATTTCAACTGGTTTCATTTTCTGTTTAACTTGTGCACAGTCAAAGATTGTCCAGTTACATTTTATTACACTGTTTTGACCTATTTTCCTTCTTAAAAAACGCTTTTGCTTTATACTAAGTAGGGCCTTGTATAGATGTGCTGATTGCATGAAACCATTAGCTGTACTTTTGTATCTGCTTTTCCAGAACAGATCTTGGTTTTCAATTTTGATTTTTAGTGCTTTGCATCTCTACACTACCAAGTAACATAAGTAACACCTGACAGGAATTTTAAACACATACCCTAAACCAACCCCCTTGCTGTCATGTTGATCCTGCCTCAAAGTGATCCTTTATGACAGAGTAGAACTGCCCCCCACCCCCACCCCCAGGGTTTCTGAAGCTGTAAATGTTTACACAAGCTGATTTCTCTCTCTCTCTCTCTCTCTCTCTCTCTCTCTCTCTCTCTCTCTCCCTTTCAAAATATTAGCCTTTCAGTAGCAGCCAAGCACTTTAACCACCATACTATCAGGGTCTTTATTATTTAAGCATCTAATTATTTTTTTTATTTTCTAAAAACGTTTGCTTTTTCTTGAAGCATAAAAATTGCTTTCCCTCTTTCTCCAAATTAAAAAAGAAAAAAAACTAAATGAAAACAAATACACTATGGAAGATATGGATTTACACATGAACTACTAATTGAATAATTAAAATTCTAGTACAGATTTATTTTTTTGTAAATACGATTGCATAGCATGTGTGTAGTCCTTTACTTGGAAAGATATTGGTCCATATAATAGCATATGCTTTTGCTGGGCAACCATAGCCTTTGATCTGTTATCACATGTGCTTCTTAAGCGTCAGCTAGAAAGAATATATAATTTTGTGAATGTTTAAAATCGCAAAATAGAGCTGCAGTTTTTATTTACTCCTATGATTTGATTTCCTTATCAAGGTGTATTAGAATGACTGTGCCTTGGAGCAGAACTTTAAATGACCAAAGTAACACATAACTCTGTCAAAGCACCACTTAGCTGAACACTGATTAACTCAATGGGCAATCTTTTTAGAAGACTCTTAAAGCCAATTCCAATGTAAATTTAAATAATCAGAAAACAATGACCCCTCCCCCCAGATGATGGACAGATATAGAATGTCAATTAAATTATGTCTGAAAACCTTTAAAGCACACCCTATTGACAGGTCAAATGCTTGTGATTAAAACTACAGTTGCTCTTTTAACTAAAGCCAGTAACTAAGCAACTGCAAAGGGGAGACTGGAAGTGGGGGCTGGAAGGGATTGACAGGACAGCTCTTGTCAGGAGCAGCCAAGATAAGCAGCAGTCATTATTTTTGGAAGCCTATCCATTCGACAGCTATGGGTTTTTGTTATTGGTGTGGTTGGGTTATCAGTACAGACCTGAAAGCGCATAAATAAATAAATAAAACTACAACGGTGTGGCCAAGTAGCCAAACAGATGGTCTCCTCAAGCTCCTAAACAAGGTCTGAGAAGAATGTGTTAAGAATATGTTGTGATTTTTTTTGCCACTGCTGGAAGGAGCGTACAAATTAAGGGAACACGTGTCTTCCACAGTCAGGCTGATCTAATTTCCTTCCCAGGCAGCCCCCAGAAATTCCGTTTTTCAAGCGAGGAAGAGCAATTTGGCGTTGAAAGAATCTTTATATGATTCAATTGCCACCTTTCACCAGCCTCACCCCTTGAAGGTGCTCTAATAGAAACATCACATCATCTTCGATTTCAGTTTCTGTGATGGCCTCCAAACCACCCTGGCTATTTGTGCGACATGATCTCAAAGCTCTTTCCAGATCTGAAGAGTAGGGTGGATCTTTGTACTGGCACGAACAGAGGGGCATCCCGAGCAAAAGCTGTCTGAATAGTCGCTCAACGAACGCATTACGCCAAGGGTGCCTTGTGGAGAAACAGAGAAAACAAAACAAAAACAGAAAGCCCTGAGCGCTCAGAAGTTGGAATTCCAAACTGTGTGTTGCCTGGCGTGCTGGTGGATTCATTAATTCTTTCTTTTCCACGAGAACTGCCTTCCTTGACTGCTGGGGACAGCAGTGATGCCCTTGTCCCGGGAAGGCGATGGCCTCCCGGTCCCCACCAGAGGCGGCGGGAAGGG